TATATATATATATATATATATATATATATATATATATATTTTAAAAACACATTAAAGATATAAAAAAAAAATTTTTTTAATTGTTACAGTTGGACAGCTGCCAGGACAAAAGAGGGAGCTTTTAGTGTACCTGAGGCCAAACAAACTATAAACATAAATAGTAATGTCTTTGCTGTGGACTGACAAAATATTTTCAGAAGATCAGTCTTGAGTCACGTAGTTTCATTTCTTCAATTTCCTCCAAACTGAGATCGTTGGTTTTTAACCTAAAGAAGAGAGGGAATTACAAAAATGTTACAATGGATTCAGAAAATATACTGACAGCTTGAAGCCAAAACATGCTCACCATAATAGACGAGGTGTGAAGCTTTCCCTTACATTGATGACATTAGAACAATATACACTGCCCAAAATTTAAGAAAGCCCACAAGCCCATGCAGTGACCACATAGACCCCCGTATGAACATAATGAATCAATGTATTCATGAGTGTATGCCTCAGTGTGCCTCACATACCATACTGCCTTCACATGACAATTGTGCTTTAAGGCTTGAATCAGAGACTCCACTCCTGTTCTGGTTATGCAGTTCTCTGACAACCTTTTAAAAGACATGCAAAGGTGGAATGTAAATGTACTGTCAACTGCTCTGAAAACTTGAGACAAAACTTAATTTAATCTCTTACCAAAGCTCCTCCAGGGATGTGCTGTTCCTGATGATGTTGGAGAGAGCACACGCTCCTGCACTGCCCACACCATTACCTACCAGACTGCCAAGACATGCATTTGTAATCATATCTGTGTAGAATACAGTTGATAAGGGAGAGGCACTGATGCCCCATACACCAATGACATTGTGAGCCCTTACTGTGAAATGTTTATCACTTCTACGCAATATACATCTGAAAGCTGGTGGTAAAGCTGATGGTAAAACTGATGTATTGAAAACAGAATAAATGGACAATTTCTAAAGATTTTCAGGGATTTTGACAAGAAAAAAAGTTTGAACTTTTCGTGCTGACCTGTGTTTACTGGTTAAAGTGCATTAAATGGGCACACAGCAACAAATCCAGAGCCCTGTGACCGTGGCCTCTCTCAGCAGGATAATGAGCTCTGTCTCAATGCAAGAATGCCTCAAGAATGGCACAAGGAGCACAACAACAATTTGTTGAGTTACGACTGGGCCTAAAGATTCTCCAGTTCTGAATCACATCTTGAGAGCTGTGCAGAACAAAATGTCAGATCTATGAGGTTTCCATTTCACAATTTACATGATTAAAAGAATATAATCCAACAGTTTGGTTACAATTACCATAGCATACTTGCAAAGCTCTATTATAGTTTACAGTTTTATGGTTCAGGGCTGATTTGGCGCGACCTTTTTCAATATTAGATAGTTTTTTAAACAATAAGTTTGTCGATGCCGAACAACTTTCTCCAGTTAAACTGAACTGAAATAATTGTCTGTTGCCCACAGAAACTAAGAGAAAGTGTCATAAGTCACCTTCAGACACTCTCTCTGAAACCTAAAAATCAGCTAAAAAATCTTGGGGTAATACTGGACTCAGACCTGAACTTTAACAGCCACATTCAAATAATAACATCAGCAGCCTTTTACCATCTCAAAAACATTGTCCAGACCTAAAAAGATGAATCCATGCATTTGTCTCTAGCAGGTTAGATTCCTGTAACGGCCTGCTCACCAGGCTCTCTAAACAAGCTCTAAAACAGCTGCAGAACATCCAGAATGCCACTGCTAGAGTTCTGACCAGAACCAGGAAATGATCTGAGTTCTGACCAGAACACAGAGAATAGACTTTGAAACAGCTGTCCTTGTGTACAAGTCTCTTCATGGTCAAGTGCCAAAATACATCTGTGACATGTTAGAGCCACATGAACCATCTTGGACTCTGAGAACCTCAGGCTCTGGTCGCCTGCTGGTGCCCAGAGTCAGAACCAAATGAGGGCAGGGTTGCTTCCTAAAATCTGGAACAGTCTTCTAGAAGAGGTGAGACAGACCTCAACTCTGACAATTTTAAATTCAGGCTGAAAACTGTTTAACCGTGCATCTGGAAAGTGAATGTATTTTATCTACACCCTTCACTTTTTATCAAATTCATTTAGTTGATTAATCGTCTTTCTTTGTTTTTCTGCTTTGTTTTTTGCTTTGTAAAGCACTTTGAACTGTCTTATACAAAAAAGGGGCTATACAAATATCTTGCCTTGCATTTGCCTTACCTGATCCAAACAAGAGATTTGCTCCTCTCCAAGGCTCCAGCCAGGGCTTCCGCTCCAGAATCACCTATCTCATTGCCCCAAAGCCTTTAAATACAAGGAAAGATAGGTCATTGAAAGCCCTTTAAAAACACAATGTGTGAGTTTGTTCTAGGAAAAGGTTTACCCTAAAGACTGAAGTGAGCTATTGGATTTCAATCCCTCTGCCAGCTTCTTCGCTCCTTCTGAAGTAATATTGTTGTTTCCCAGCCTGAAAGGAAATCAAGGAGTTAATCTACTGTTCTCTTGCTCTATAAGGGCCTGGTTATTTGTGCAGCACCGTGTTAGCGACATATCTGACGACTGTGGCGAACACTGTGTGCTGACCTTATTGAGAGGAAATCCTGCCTGATCTTCAGAAGCTGACAAAAGTGCTCTGTGCAGGCATCAGTTAGATTGTTGTTGAAGAGGCTGATGAAACAATGTAAAAAGATGATGAAGGCTGATTGATAGCATGACGTTTGTAACCGAATAATAGATTTAGTAATCCTCTTCACAATACTTACGCAATTTTACGGAAGTTCTTACATTGGATCCCTTTTGTAATCAGTTTGCGGATGCCCTCATCTGTGATGTTATTATTTCTGAGACTTACACAGTTAAAAATAAGACAACTTTTAAAAAGAGCACAACTTGTTCAATTGCCACAGTAAAATGAATGGCCGAAGAAGAAGTAATACTTTTTCCACTTACTACAAAGAGTTACACATATGCATGCAGGGAAGGAGCTGCTCCACTCCAACATCACCCACAGAATTGTTGTCCAGCTGAAGGCCTATAGGGTTCTTCAAATGTTGGAGGACATAGGCCAATGCAGTGCACTCTACAGGGCCAATGTTACAGTAGGTGAGTTTGAGATGGTCCACCTCCAGCTTACTCATGGCATCTTTAGCTATTCGGCTCTCTTGCATCTCATAGATGCATTTGATAAGCCACAAAAAGCCAGGCATTGCGTGCATGCTCTTCTTATCCCCATGCACAGGCTGGGGAATGGACCGGAAGTGTTTCTGCATACGTTTGGAAAGGTACCTCGCCACCTGCCGTCCTCTTCTCTCCACTACACCACTTGAGCAGCAGTGGAGCAGCATTCTTTGGTGACGCCGGGACAGCAGCCCAGACACAAAGGTGGCCATTATCTGCAGATTTTGCCTTTCGGCTGGGGTAGGTTCTTTCCCCGAAACCTCCTCATGTTGGTCAGTAGAATGCAGGCAGGCTCTGAAGCATGCGCTGCTCTGACCTGTGTTCTTCATGTCCTGGACTTCAAAGAGCTTAGGGATAACGGAACGGTCAATGTTACTGGACAAGACGATGTAGAGTGCTGCAAAGAAGCATTGTATTGTCAGGTGAAGGAATTCGTAACGTTTCCTGCCTGTAAGGGACATATCTTTGCTTTGTATGAGAAAGCCCATGCTGAAAACATCTTCAGTTACACCACAGGTCTCAAGGTCCGCTCCTGAGAAGATATAACAGGTCTTTTGTATCCCCTCAAAAGCAAGCTGCCCAAGATGCAAGACAGTTTGTAGGTGCTCCTGCAACCAGCCTAACCCTATGTTAGTCTTTGGGCTGCTTTGGTGCAGGAAAAAGTGCTGTAAGATCATCAGGTAAACATCTGTGAGTGTTTGCGGGCTTCCTTCCCCACAGCCCAGCAGCTCCTTGTGGCATTGTGACACTATCCAGCAGAGAACTGGACTATGGCACAGTCCGAGTAAAGCCCCGTTTGCCTGTAGGGATTCTATAACCATATCAGCTTCTGTCAGATCACCATGATGTTTTCTTACAAAACATTCGATACCAGCTGGGGAAAATCCTCTCAGGAAGATCTCTTTCCGCAGGTGTTTTCTTAAACAAGGGCCAACCACCTCAGGGCGACTCGTGAGCACTTTTCGCACCCCCTTCATCAGGGAACCCTGGATCAGGTTGAACATTAGTACATGAACGGGTGCACGTTGGGTGGGACAGCAGAGTCTGTGCTCATCCGAGAAGCTCTGCTTGAACTCATCGAGGCCATCGAAGGTAAAAATTACAAGATGTGGGTGGTCAAGGATGAACTTGAAGACCTCTTCTTGCTCCCTGTCTGGCCAGCAGCAGTGCTGGAACAACAGCTCTTGAACAGATAGTTCCCTTTGCTCTGAGTTCAACCTGCGACAGCTAAATGGAAAGAGAAGCCGGAAGTCCTGAAGGGCTGCCCCCTGGGCCCAAAGCCAGTGCAACCTCTGGAGTAGGGTGCTCTTCCCACAACCCGCCTCCCCAGATACCAGCACTGCATCAGCATCCTCGTTCACAGCACCCACGGGACTTACGACATCTTCTAGGCCCAAAGGGTTGTGGACCGCAGCGCTGTTGTTAGGTAGCTCTAGCTGGACTTCGGTATAGATGTCGTGCAGAAACAGGTGGCTGGTCCCTCCATAAGTACTGAGAATGCAGGACTGCGCAGACACAGAACTGCTCAGCTTCCTCTGGTATTTCAAAAACTCTGAGAAAAAGTCAAGTGTAAAAGGTCAGATAAGTTGTTCCCATTTCAATTTACATGCAGAATTTGTTTTGACCCCGAAGAGCAAAATGCACCAATAACTGACTAAACAGAAACAGAAATCCACGAGCACAAAAAATGTTTTAACAGAAAAAACAACCAGAACATTTCAAATAAAGGAGAAAGACCAAAAAACACTAGTGATTAATTTCTCCCACCACTCCCCAAAATGTGATTTCATTGAGTAATCTTTGGTAGGTTCTGTTTCTGGAGCGTTTCAAAACATTACATTTTTTCAAAAGAGGCGCTTAGATTTTGTAGGTATCATTATATTTCACACCAAGTACTCACAAGGTAATATATAAAAGGTGTCTCCACTATGTTACACCAATAGAATTGTCCATTTATAATACAGTTTCGTATTACATGGTATGGATTTTAACTGTTTAACTGTAACAATCAGTAGAGGGAAGTAACAAAGTTCCTATTCTACAAGGCTTGATCAGATGGTTCTCCCATTTTTCAGCCTTTAATGCTTTGTGACAAGGGCTAAAGGATTCCTCTGGTTTTTCAAACGTCCATCCATCCATTGTCCTCACGGCTTGTTCCTAGTAGAGCTGCGGGGTGCTGGAGGATATCTCAGCTGCTATTGAGCGAGAGACGTGGACACCAAGAACAGAGGCCCAGTCCATCCCAGCGCCACACAGAGATGAACAACCACGCACATGTAGATTCATTTGTATCGGGAATTTAGAGCTACCAATCAACCTGACATGCACATTTCTTTAAATGTGACGGACAAAAAAGTGAAAAGCGACATTCTGATTTCTCTGATCCCTGTTAAATAATAAAACCATCTATCAATAAATAATGACTTGAAGGTAATCTTTCGTATGTTTTTAGTCCAATTCTGCAAGATCCAGTTTTATGAGATGCAGTAAAGAGGTATTTTTTCTCTCCTTTTTCCATGAAACACTGCACTTAGCTTTAACCAGTACAATTTTCCCAGTAAAAATGACGCACCTTTAGGAAGACTCAGTTCATCCTGGCTTGGTGTGGATCCAGATTCTGGTCTTTGCTGAATGTATCTCAGGATAACTGAAGCCGCTGAGTCTCCTTTGGATCTTATGCGGTCAAGCAGTCGCCTTGCCTGACACAGGACATGGGCATGAGAGCAAAATATTCATAAAGGGACAACAAAACAGGAATATATCATCACTTTGGAGTTGCAGTTATTCACTAAGTTGTCAAACTTTAGTAAGTTTGTAGAAAGCACAGAAAAACAGCTTCTGTTTATCAAAAGGTTAAGTTGTGTTGGTTTAAAAGAAAACACACTGAAGCACTGAATTCTTTAAGGGGAAAAGGCATATTAGGTTATCTTAGCTTTTGTTAGCCACACTTCTCAGCAGCTCCATTAGTCATTTTTTATTTTTATTAAACATGAACACTGCTGGACACTGCTGTCACATGTTTTTCAGCGCTCAATTAAACTTTTGAAAATATAAAGCAAAAACAGTTCAATTTCCCATGGGAATTTCTGGTGATAAGGAGGTCAAACATTAAGCAGACACATTAATTATGTGTGTAAAGCCTGTGAGTTTACATTACCTGCTGTGAGGGAGTGTGTATAGGTAGCTTCACTTCATCACAGTCTGCTGGGGAAAAGTGGCCAGATGCAGCGAGAGCTTCCAGAGCCCCATCGATGCAGCCCTGCAGCTTGCTGACGAGGCTTGGCCTTCGAGTCAGGAGCGTCTCAGCACACGCGCTTTGAGTCTCTTCTTTTTGTTTTAAACTGGAAGAGCAGCTTGAGATTGACAATCCGGCTCCCTGTCCCTCTGGTAAGACTTGTTTCAGGGCCGAGAGGAAGAGCACGCAGGTGTCCTCACTCTTTGAATAAACCAGATCAAGCAGCTGTCTGGCGTTGGCGTACAGCGCCCTGCCCGGAACCTGGATGTTGTGGTAATCCTCCCATAGAAGCTCCCTGTGGGCAAGCAGTATGTCCACAACTCTTTCCAGATGTTCAGGTGAGCCACTGCTGCAGAGAGCGTGAAGTATCTCTGTGCGCTGTCTAAGCACAAGGTCCTGGGCAAACATGCTTCCTGCATGTCAGCTCCCATGCTCCGGGGATGAAGCCGGTTCCTCCGCCATACTGTCATGCCAAACCCAAACATGTCATCATTAACGCTCAGAAACAAATCACAAAACAGACCGTGTCCCCATTCGACACCCGGCTCCTGCATCGTGCACAGCAGGAGAAGTACACGTACATGTGCTAGCTTTCATACATGTGACAAAAACAGTGACTATTTTTCTATACAATTACCGCCCACCAAAAAAAAACTGAATTAAAACGTAAAAATGTGTAAAAACAGTAAAGCCATATTAGAATTCGTACTTACGGGTAAACCTCAACAACAGAGCTGTCTTCTCTCCATCTGTCATTTAGAGTGAGGCGTCAGGGACCTTGGGCCCACCTCTTCCTCATTCCACTAATGAAAGTGAAACTTGGCCCGTTCAGTCCCTCCACTGACATGTTAAGTAAATAGTGACAGGACATTTAAGGCAGGGCAGCATTCCAAGTAGCAGACAAAAACTGAGGAAGTCAAATGTCCTGTGACATCTTTGAAGCACTGCTTGGTGGATTTGTTCATGGACATGCATCGTGGTATTCTAATTTGGGTTAAGTGTAGTTTGCCTAATTGTTGAGCCAGATTTGAAGAGATATCCGAATCCTTGATAACGGTTTGAACTCAACAGAGCATCTTAAAATGATCATTTTTATAAAGAACATCTAAAAATGTCATTTTATAAAATTCTTATTGAAAGACAAGTTGTGTACATGTAGTTTCCTGTTGCTGTCACTTGGGGGAACTGTTGCATAAATAAACTCATAAAGTTTGTTGAGGCTCTTGACATTTTTAGTTCCTTGTAGATTCTTACAGTCGGATTTCTTTCTTTCTTTTTATCTCAGACTCTGTCTTCTGCATGCCATCCTGCCAGTGATTCCAATTATCTTTGTACACATGGTACAGTGGTTTTATTAGAAATTGTTTGATGGCAGCGGGTGGATACTTGAAGGTTTGTCAGAAATAAATATCTAATCATTTCATGGTAGTAACTCTGCTGAGTTTGGATAGAGACAGTACTGCCACCGAGAACCTGCTGCTGAGGCAGCATGCTGTGCATAAAAAACACAATCCAATAAGGCTGCCTTGCATTATTTGATGTCAAGAGAACATGGCTGACTGTTTGGGCTGTCATGTGATTTATCATTAGTTGTCCTTACCGCTCCCTCCTGAGTACCATGATTATTTTATCATGTGCCGCTCACTGTGTTCTGCGGGGGGAAATCCTTAAACATACCTGGACAGGAATAATCAAAAACAATCTTTCAAAGAGGCGTTTCTTTTCTTCTCCTCGTCTATGAAACAGGCAACTCCACCGAGGGAGGTGTAAAGCAGAGGACTTCCAGCCGTCCTACATCAAACTTTAAGGTGGAGTTCTGTCATCCAAATCCCAGAGGGGGGTCCCAAGGATCTGTGTGGATACAAAAGAAGTTATGAAATGGTAAATAAAAATATACAGATATAATCACAGAAGACACCTCTGAGTATTTATGTCCTCTGAAACACGATGTCTGTGTGTGAGTGTATATATACAGTATATATATAAATACACACTCACTTTTTAGGAAAGCTTAGGAAGTATGGGTTTGTGCTCCAAGAGTTAATATTACTTGACAGATTTTGGATCTGTTAAACAAAAGTGATAATGTTACTTATGTCACCATTAATCTTTTCAAGGAAAATAGGGTTATGGGATAATGGTCCATTTTTCATAACAGAATTAAAGAGAGGTTAAACTTGACCTGAAAGATACACTCTCTTAACTCTTGGCCTCCACAGATTCAGTTCAGCTCTCTGCACTTCACTAAAAATCTAGCCAAGCACTAAATAACCTCATCCACCCGGTGACTTTTAAACTCGGTGTGTAACAGAGCAGGATGCTTCCCAGCGGCGTGGCCGAGACCGAGTCCTTTGGACATGGCCTATTTCATCACTGAGAATTCCTCCAGCACCAATATCAAAAGCATATGTGGTGAGCTCAGTGTTGGGCCAGGTGCACTGATAGACTGAATGTGCTCTGATTGCTTTGCCAGATCTCCCAGGAGCAAATCAACATGTCTTATTGTCAAAGTAATCTGTTAAGCTGATCCGCTAGGAGGTGGCATTTTTTTTAATAGTCGGTGTATTTTCTACAATGCTGCCTGTAAACCGGCACAATAAAGGAAGGAGAGCAAACATAGCCACAGAATAAGAAAGCTTTATTCAATCTGAATACAACAACTCATTGCCTCAATGTGTTTGTATGATTCTGTTTTGAAGAATCAGTATTTTCTTAATTTATTTTAACCTTCATTTAACAAAGTGTAAAATGAACAGTGTGCCCACTGGCCCAGTAAAATTGCTTAGCAAATATGAACAAATGTCTAATTTTATGCCAGAAACGCATTCAAGTTAAGGACGAATCATGCAAAACTTTTTTTTTTAACAACAATTGATTGTTTGGGAAATAAGGATTTTATATTAGTGAAAATCAGTGCTGATTCCTGTACAATTTCAGCTGCCTAGCAGATTGTTGGCATCTCACTTTTTCAATCACGAGGAAAAGAGATCACCTACATTTAGGAACATTGGTGGTTTGAAAAGCGAAGACAGCTGACCACTGAATCACTGTGTTATGGTAAGGCCTCTGCTCTGTGGGACACTGGTTCCGTCTCTGGAGGCAGATGTAGATTAAGTTGAGAGAAAAACGTTTTTTCTAAAATACCCAAAAGTCCATATGGCTTTACTGATCTTGATTTGACGGTTTCTCACGCAGTGCCACTTATGAGCTCAATGTTTAGGAATATCCAGCTGTGGTTTTGATCCTTGGCCTTTACGGTTTTACAATTTGATTATTTTATAATCTATACCCTATATATTTTGGTTCTTCTCTGCCCCAGCTGGTATTAAGCGGGTTTCTAGCAGCAGATTATGTTTATGCTTTGGGAAAGTGAGGATACCTAAATGACACAATGACAAAAAATGAATCATAATAAAATCATGTGTACATACATTGTCAGTCTGGTAAGGGGTCCATAGTTCTCCATAGTGACCACATCAGTACTGTGAGTGTAGATATATATAAAGAGAGAGATTTACAATGTACTGAGAATTAACAGCAGCTCAATGGCATGAATGTTTTCTCAGAGTCCACCACATCATTACTTTGGACACGCGTTGTCAACACATTCTTTCCCCTCCCCATCCATCTGAAATGTTAAAAGCACGCTGGTCCTGTTAAATGTCCCAGCTTGTCTGAACTGCAGCTCAACTAAAATATGCATAACAGTGACTGACAATTTAATTTTTTTGACTGTGTCTATCTGTTCAATAGAGGTTCAAACAAATGAATGTTAGATTTGTCTTTGTTTTAAAATATCTAATGCATAAGCTGGCAGAGTGGACACCTTATCTTGTTAGGAAGGATGTAGCAGAACCTCATCCATCTGTGGGCTTCTTAATTGAGCACAATGAGCTTTGTGTGTATAGATGACAAACTTAAAAGAATGTCAACAATCAATTCATCCATGGCATCAAGTAAAAAAAAAAAAAGCTTCTTGTTACATAGTGAAAGCCTGTAATCTTTCACTCCTTTAAGACAGAGGGGTAAGACATAAAAAGGGATTACCTTGTTTCGTTAATGAAGACACATTAACTGTAAGTGGATCCAGGGAAACCGTAGCAATGCACAGGGTGAAGCCACACACTGACTCACGCGCAGCAGGGACTGATGTATCATTACAAACGGCCCGTCTGAGCCAGAGAAAGAGGAAATCAACAGTGGAGGCGGATGGCATCTTTCTGAGAGGGGACCGGTTAAAGTGTGGGGGGGGGGGGATGGCATACGTCCGTGACCGTGTACGTATGGGCACGCGTGTCAATCAGGATTTAATTGACGGGAAGATTAAAGCTCCCATCCGAGAGCCCCCTCTTTGGGCAGGAGCGGGTGAGTTAAAGGAGCCTGGTCTCCAGCGTCTGCCTGGGGTTCGGGGTGCTGTGCTCAAGGTTAGCGCCCCGCTGAGCGGGCGCTGTCTGAGATGGGTCCTACTTGTTGGACATTCATTATCAAACTCTGTTTGCTCCTTTCATCTGCAGCTCTCTGCAGCACTCAGCGTAAACTACAGAGGCACCTTGCAGCTTGACATCTCTCCATTCAGTCTGTACCTTAAACAGCATGCTGCCACATCAAAGAGCCGCGGCTGCCTTTGATGTTGCAAAAAAGAAAGAGCTCCAATGATCTGCTAAAAACCTCGCTATCTCTAGAAGTCTGCAGTCGGTCTCTGAAAGTCCACGGCAGCTTTGGCAAAAGTTGGACGGTACTTTGCAGCACAGGGCGAAACAGGAACAGCTGGGTACTTTTGAGGGATCGCTGGGGTCCAGTTGGCGTTCAGGGAACGTCCCGTCGTGCACCACGTCTTGTCGTGTTAGAGTGGATTATCTCTGAGCGTCAATGAAAAAAAAAAAACAGCATACTTCATTAACAATGCTGGCTACAAAAACAGGGTTTACACTGAACAAGCTGTAACACGAATCGAACCTCAATGTAGAGCATGGAAATGTTTTCCGGATAAATCGGTCTTCACTGGAGAAACCTACTGGCATCATTCCCAGCAAAGGAGAACAGAGAGAAGGAGCTGAGGACAAATCAGAATATATCCGCACGTACATTTAGTCATTTGGATGACACTTTTAACGACAGAGACTTGTATGCCTGAATTTAGATCAAAAGTTGCAATCAGACTTCGAATTTGGTTCAAGCAACCAGAGGTCAAAGGTGAAGCTCAGCAACTCAGGGAGATTTGTGAATTAGATTTTTTTTGCTTGTTCAAACATCAGATGAGTTCCTGACTCTATGGGTTTCATTGTTTATGGAGGGAGACCTGCCAGAAGAGCATTACAATGGTTGAGAAGAGAGATAACGACTGCCTGAGCCAAAAGCAGGCCGCGACTTTGTGTCAAAAGTGGCATGGCTTCTTTTTTTTTTGTGGA